TTTTTTTGCCTTTTACTTAATTCAAGTCTTCTGCTTCAATCTTAGAAACCTTTGACATAATCTAATAGTTTAATAATATAATAAATTTTATAATTTAAATATTTTTCAATTACAATTTATTTGTTACTTAAATTATTGCTATATAAAATATATCAATAAAACATAAAATGAAAATTCATTTTAAATTATAGAATTTCAACCTCTAACATATATATAAACCCTTATATGAAAAAAAAATTTCTCAAACATTTTTCAAAAAAAAGTTAAGGCCTTTAAAGAGTCTAAAATTTCATAAAAATAATTTTAAATTTAATGAAAAATTTAAAAAAAATTCTGCAAAAATTTCGATTAGACCTCCATAATTCTAGTTAATAAATTTTATTAGGAATTTAACATAAATAACTAATGGTAGAATTAAGTTTAGTAATTTTAAAAAGGTTGAGGACTATTTTTAGTTTAAATAAAAGGTCAAGTCAATATTTAGTAATTATTGTAAAAATTAAGGATTAAGTGTGAAGTTTACCCTTTAAATTTTAACAACAAAAATTAAAAACCACCAACCATTTTATACTAAACGTAACCTTATATTTTTGTCTAAATTACTCTTAAAAGGGAAAAAAAACCATGGTGGGTAGTGAGAAAGTGGAGAAATATCAGCAAAATTTTGTTGGAAGGTGCAATGACGGGCATAAGAAGAGAGAAAAACCCAAAAACCCAAAAACCCAACCCATGGTCTTAGGTAAGTAAGTTTCTAGAACTCTCTATATATTATTTGTGTATGTTCTTTCTGAGTTCTATATAATATTGGAGCTTAATCTTTCTAATTTTGTTTTATTTTAGGAAGGTCCAAGCAGGCGCATCTGATTTCCTATTCCGGGAAAGATCTGGCAATAAATACTATGTCTTTGTTTTCTGTTGCTTCTTGAGTTTTTTTTTTTTTTTTTTTTTAACAGTAAGAAATTTTAAGTTAAGTTAATTGACAACTGTTCTCAAACCCATGATAATATGTATTTCACCTGCTGCAGCAATGAACAGCGTGACCTGGACGGGGGATTGCTGTTGCTTCTTGAGTTTATTAGAAATAAAAATAGTAGTCACTGGCATCTCCCCGTAACCGGTTTTGAAGTCAAATCATCTTCAATTTTTATTATGATGTGGCAGTATGAATGGGTGAGTGTCGAGGCGGGTGTTAATTGGAGAGTGCACATAGCATTGCTCACCTCGGAATGTCCACGCTCCATACAAACGCACGACATACCCTCCTCCAGAAAACCGAACAACCATCCATGGCTTCCGCTTTCCGCCCTCTCCTTCTCTTTCTCCTACTCATCCCTCTCTCCGTCACTGCCAACCTCCACAAATCTAAAACCCTCCTCAAATCAAGTCTCTTCTCCTCCACCACTACATCCCACCTCAATGACACCCCACCAACCACCTACTTCGAAGTCACCAAACCCATCAGACTTCCCAAGACCCAACCTTGCGTCTATCCCATTCTCCACCATGATTTCGGCTATACATATGGCAAACCCCCGGTTCTCGCAAAATATATCCCACCTTCTCACTGCCCATCTCACGATTTCTCTAAAATTGTCCTTGAATGGAGTGCCACCTGCAAAGGAAGGCAATTTGATCGCATTTTTGGGATCTGGCTAGATGGGGTCGAGCTTCTTAGGAGCTGCACTGCAGAGCCAAGAGCTACTGGGATTGTGTGGAGTGTCAAGAAGGACATAACAAGGTATTACTCTTTGCTTGTTAAGAATCAAACACAAAGTCTTGCTGTTTATTTGGGTAATTTAGTTGATCGAACTTATACTGGCGTGTATCATGTGGACATAACTCTTTATTATTACCCTGCTGAGAAGAAATTCAATGACTTTGAGGGCAGTTCGGAGAATCTGGCATCTGGGTATGGCTCTAGAGCTGATTTAATCTTACCCATTTCGCGGAATTTTCCATTGAATGATGGGTTGTGGTTTGAAATTGAGAATTCCACAGATACTGAAGGGAAGGAAATCAAAATTCCTCAAAATGTGTTTAGGGCTGTGTTAGAGGTGTATGTGTCATTCCATGAGAGTGATGAGTTTTGGTATGGAAATCCACCAAATGACTATCTTTTGGCTAATAATCTTACTGACAAACCAGGAAATGGGCCTTTCAGGGAAGTTGTGGTTACGCTTGATGGAAATGTGATTGGTGCAATTTGGCCTTTTACTGTGGTTTATACAGGAGGGATTAACCCGCTCTTGTGGAGACCAATTTCTGGCATTGGATCATTTGATCTCCCTTCATATGATATTGAAATTACTCCATTTTTAGGGAATATGTTGGATGGTAAAACACATACATTGCAGTTCCGCGTTACAAATGCTTTGAATGTGTGGTATATTGATGCCAATTTGCATCTCTGGTTGGATGGAAAGAACACATATACTGAAGGGAAGCTTCTTCAGCATCAGGTTATGCCTCTTGGTATTTCCTATTCATCAGATTTCAAGGGTTTAAATGGAACTTTCTTGACAAAAGCAAACAGGTCCATATCCTCAACTGGATGGGTTAAGTCATCTCATGGCAAGATCACTACTAA